CGTTGAGCTATACGATCCCACATACAGTAATACTGTCACTTTTTTTCCTGTATGTTACACACTGTGAACTATATGATCCCACGCACAGTAATACTGTCACTTTATATCCTGTATGTTACACACTGTGAGCTATACGATCCCACACACAGTAATACTGTCACTTTTTATCCTGCATGATACACACGTTGAGCTATACGATCCCACATACAGTAATACTGTCACTATTTTTCCTGTATGTTACACACTGTGAACTATATGATCCCACGCACAGTAATACTGTCACTTTATATCCTGTATGTTACACACTGTGAGCTATACGATCCCACACACAGTAATACTGTCACTTTTTATCCTGCATGATACACACGTTGAGCTATACGATCCCACATACAGTAATACTGTCACTTTTTTTCCTGTATGTTACACACTGTGAACTATATGATCCCACGCACAGTAATACTGTCACTTTATATCCTGTATGTTACACACTGTGAGCTATACGATCCCACACACAGTAATACTGTCACTTTTTATCCTGCATGATACACACGTTGAGCTATACGATCCCACATACAGTAATACTGTCACTTTTTTTCCTGTATGTTACACACTGTGAACTATATGATCCCACGCACAGTAATACTGTCACTTTATATCCTGTATGTTACACACTGTGAGCTATACGATCCCACACACAGTAATACTGTCACTTTTTATCCTGCATGATACACACGTTGAGCTATACGATCCCACATACAGTAATACTGTCACTTTTTTTCCTGTATGTTACACACTGTGAACTATATGATCCCACGCACAGTAATACTGTCACTTTATATCCTGTATGTTACACACTGTGAGCTATACGATCCCACACACAGTAATACTGTCACTTTTTATCCTGCATGATACACACGTTGAGCTATACGATCCCACATACAGTAATACTGTCACTTTTTTTCCTGTATGTTACACACTGTGAACTATATGATCCCACGCACAGTAATACTGTCACTTTATATCCTGTATGTTACACACTGTGAGCTATACGATCCCACACACAGTAATACTGTCACTTTTTATCCTGCATGATACACACGTTGAGCTATACGATCCCACATACAGTAATACTGTCACTTTTTTTCCTGTATGTTACACACTGTGAACTATACGATCCCACACACAGTTATACTGTCACTTTTTATCCTGTATGTTACACACTGTGAGCTATACGATCCCACACACAGTTATACTGTCACTTTTTATCCTGTATATCACACACTGAAATATACGATCCCACACACAGTAATACTGTCATTTTATATCCTGTATGATGCACACTGTGATCTATACGATCCCACACACAATAAAACTGTCACTTTATATCCTGTATATCACACACTGTGAGCTATTCGTTCTTATTACGAACACTTGATTTCACAAACAACGCTATTTCAATATCTGTCCATTTGTACCTGTCCATGGAAACAATAATCATGGAATTTTTCATTTTGTGAACTTTTTGAATAAAGACATGTGGTCTGGTCTTCTTATGATGAATACATGACGAAAGGGGGGGGGGGGGGGCATAACTGAATTATCTCCCCCTGTTTCCAATAGGTGTGTATATTGAGTGTTTGTTTCTGACTTTTTACCTTCTGATTTCAGGTATTGCATCCATGGACTGTCTATCTCTCCTCTCTATGCAATGCTCAGACCTGCGAACCCTTGCATGAGGAGAAAGAATGCGCTATTACTTGTACATTGCTTTCAATAGGTGTGTGTATTGCGTGTGACGTCATCAATATAGCATTTACCGACGGAATTACCTCCCTTTGTTTCTAGCTTTTACCTTCTGATTTCAGATATTCTCTCTCTCGGCGACGCTGTTTTTTTAGGTTTTTTCCACTTTTCTTTTCTCCTCTTTTTAATCATATATTTTCATTTTCCTTGATAATCTTATGCATAAAACATATTTATAAACAATAAATAGTTACAAAATGCGTTATTTACAATGATATAAAATTCACGGCATATTTATAGTGTTTTCGAGTGTTGTATCAAATTGAGATGAACTTTTTTTTCGTGTAGGAAGTGAGTGTGTCGGTGCTGTAGCAGGTGGTGTTGCGTCCTTGTTTGAACTTAAAATAATAGTTAACACATAGACAATTCACAATGATACATTAGCTGACGGTATAATAAAAGAGTGAAGTAAGTTATTCTATTTGTACAATTAATATTCTTACAGGGTAGCGTGTAAACTGAATACTGGCCGCTTGCACGTCGTTGTCTATGCATTCTTTGGCGATGTTGGCGCTCCTTGTCGTTTTATAGGTTTTGTCCTTCCTGTACGTGTCTGCTTGCCGTTGTATTAATTGCTGTTGGCGTAGGAAGTTGGATAGACTGTAGAAAAGTGTGTCATCTGAGCTTGTCAAAATCGTACGGGAAGCTTTAGATGACGTAACGGTTGTCGAACGTGACGTCACTATCATCGATCGATATCCGCTCTTAACTCAGGTATCTATTGAAAATCAAAAGAATATTGGAAGACAGAAGGGTCAATTTCAGTTTTGAGGGGTCAATGGCCCCTCCAGGATTATCCCTGGGAGCATAAACGAAAATAGCTAATTTTTCCACGAAAACGAAAGTTTAGATATTTATATAAGCATATTGCACGTATAAGTATTCATCTATTTTGTAAGACATCTACCATGTCTTATAAAGGGTTGTTTCAAGGATTCCATACTGTTAATGCACTGGTCATAACCGAAGATAGCTCCTTGCAAGCTGTTAGACAACCCTGTCAATTGCCGGTAAAATCTTGTAGCTGAAGTTACTTAACAATTTCTAGTTATTCTATAGTTTTAAAACAGTTACGATTCAAGAAATAGTTAGAATTGTCATGAAATACGTTTTAAAGTAAAGAAAATACCTGATAATCGTTGCTAATCGTAGACTGAACCGTCCTTCAAAGCCTGGGGTCGTGTCAACTATCCGTTAGTGTGACGTCATAACCGAGTATAAGAGTTACTTACCTTCTACCGTAAATGATTTTGGTCTATTTTGTTCATACAATAAAAACATTACAGAGAAAAAAACATTAAAAAGTGTTATTTTTCCTCACAAGTTAAGTAATTTATCTTATGAAATTAATTAAATGATTAATTTATCGATATTTTAACGTAAAAATAGACATTTTTCATCATGAAATGTTTTGAATACTTAGATAGAAATAAAAACATGATATTAAGTGATATTTGTCAACCTTTGTCGACTATTTGTCCATATTGTCCACTACTTGTACAATATTTGTCCATATTTGTCCACTTTTTGTCGACTACTTGTACACTATTTGTCCATATTTGTCCACATTTGTCCAATGGAAACCCAATTTTCACGTATCACTGAGCAATGTCTACATCTTTAGCTGATACGGGATGTGTCGTTGCTCAGTGTAGTGTATAAACACCTTTATAGATAACAAGTAACAAAAGCTTTTGGTATTTACTAACTATAATTGTTTTATTTTGAAATTAATGTTAGCAATCAGTCAATTCAAACGTAGGAAATAATTTATGAAATTTGTTGATGTACATAAGGTCGTTCAATCTGTTACTCGAGTCTTTGCTAAATAATAACAGTACTTTAATTCTATAATTCGTGACTCTTCCGTCGCGAAACATGTAAAATACTATACTATACTATAATCTAGTTCATTGTTAACAGTGGATAACATAGTGTTCTAATGTGGGTTTGCACGTACTGCAAAGGGTGTATGGCATGCTATTCAGTTACCAAAAGCTACATTCATAGTACTAAGAGATATTGGAAAACTTTTTCATAGACAGAGGCAGCACATTTGATGTTTATAATACAAGAGGCCCAATGGGCCTGCATCGCTCACCTGGTATCAATCTCACACTTGTAATCTTAAAAGTGGACTAAAATACAGCTACAGGCAGAATATCAGTGTTTGATTCATAACAACCTATTAACAGATTTAAACATATGATGCCTGTGACCTTGAATGTAGAATTAGGACGTTAGGTTGAACAGAGTTTATTGTCTTTCAACCAAGCAAGCTTCTGGCAAAATATCATTACCCTGGACCTTTTGGTTATACAGAACCAATCATTTAAAGATTTAAATATATACTGACCACTGTGACCTTGAATATAGGCGAAGGTCATTCACTTAGTAGTCCTTCATCTCCGCATGTTAATAGCCAAATATCATCACCCTTGGCCTTTTGCTTATTAAGAGGTCGTTTAAAGGTTTTTAACATATCTGACCCCTGTGACCTTGAATATATGTCAAGGTCATTCATTTGAACAAACTTTGTAGCCCTTCATCCCAGCGTGCTACTGCCATTATCCTAAGCCTCTTGGTTATTTAGAAGAAGTTGTTTAAAGGTTTTAAACATATTTGACCCCTGCGACCTTAAATAAAAGTAAAGGTCATTCTTTTGAACAAACTTGGTAGCCCTTTATCCAAGCATGTTACTGGCCAAATATCATTATCCTAAGCATCTTAGTTATTCAGAAGAAATTGATATCCATCTCTTAGTTCCAGAGAAGAAGCAGCTTAAAGCAATATAGCCAAATAACCCTTTTTAGCGGGGCACACCTAGGCCCCCTGGGGGGATCAGCCCCATCATTTGTACATTTTGAATCTCCGCCTCCCATTAATGCTTCGTACCAAATATGATTGATATCCAGTGCATAGTTCTACAGGAGAAGTCGTTTATAGCAATATAGCCAAATTGGGCGTCCCCCTTTTGACACCGCCGCTCAGCCCCACCATTTGTACAATATTGCCAAAAAGAATTATACTGCCGTGTAGTTTAGTTAAATTCCAATTAAGCTAATTAAGTGTTCCATTATTGGTACAGTCACGTTAATTTCTTCAGAAATAAGACCAATTTAAAATACAGCCCTTTTTTCCCAATAAAAATATTTGAATGTTCTATATTATTCCGAACACCATTCAACAACACCTTTTCATAAATCCTTTATCCTTTGGACTTTTTCTTGTAACTTTTCTGTTGCTATATTCACCACTTTAGCATCAGTTCCTGAGACAAGTATATGACCAACATTATCTGTTCTCAAAACAAAACTGAGCCCTGTCTCCAAGCGTAGTTTTCTGAAGTTCTCGCCTCCTTTTCCAATGATATTGCCACAAATCCAGTCATGAATTGCCTCACGTTCGTCTGTCAACACTTTTTCAGTAAAAGGTTGAGTTTTTTCACCCTTTATTCTTTGGACTTCCTGTTGTACTTTTTCTGTTGCTATCTTCACCACTTCAGCGTCAGCCCCCAAGATAAGTACATAGCCAACATTATCTGTTCTCAAAATAAAATTGATCCCTGTCTCTAAGATTAATTTTCTGAAGTTCTCTCCTTCTTTTCCAATGATGTTGCCACAAATCATGTCATGAAATGCCTCATCCTCATCCGTCACCACCTTTTCAGAAAAGGATAGAATGTTTTCGTTCCTTATTCTTTGGACTTCCTGTTGTATTCTTTCTGTTGCTATCTTAACATCTTCAGCATCAGCCCCCAAGACAAGTATATGACCAACATTATCTGTTTCCAAATCAAAATAGAGCCCGGTCTCCAAGTGTAGTTTTCTTAAGTTCTCTCCTCCTTTTCCAATGATCTTTGCACGAATTGTTTCATGAAATGCCTCATCCTCATCCGTCACCACCTTTTGAGAAAAGGGTAGAATTTTTTGGTTTCTTATTCTTTGGACTTCCTGTTGTATTCTTTCTGTTGCTATCTTCACATCTTCTTCATCAGCCCCCAAGATAAGTACATAGCCAACATTATCTGTTCTCAAAAGAAAATTGAGCCCTGTCTCCAAGATTAATTTTCTGAAGTTCTCTCCTCCTTTTCCAATGATGTTGCCACAAATCATGTCATGAAATGCCTCATCCTCATCCGTCACCACCTTTTGAGAAAAGGAAAGATTTTTTTTGTTTCTTATTCTTTGGACTTCCAGTTGTACTTTTTCTGTTGCTATCTTCACAACTTCAGTATCAGCCCCCAAGACAAGTATATGACCAACATTACCCGTTTCCAAATCAAAGTTGAGCCCTGTTTCCAGGTGTAGTTTTCTTAAGTTCTCTCCTCCTTTTCCAAAGATCATTGCACAAATCATGTCATGAAATGCCTCATCCTCATCCGTCACCACCTTTTCAGAAAAGGGTAGAATTTTTTCGTTTCTTATTCTTTGGACTTCCTGTTGTAGTTTTTCTGTTGCTATCTTCACATCTTCCGCATCAGCCCCCAAGACAAGTATATGACCAATACTACCTGTTCCCAACTCAAAACTGAGCCCTGTTTCCAAGCGTAGTTTTCTTAAGTTCTCTCCTCTTTTTCCAATGATGTTGCCACAAATCCAGTCATGAAATGCCTCATCCTCATCCGTCACCACCTTTTCAGAAAAGGGTAGGAATCTTTCGTTCCTTATTTTTTGGACTTCCTGTTGTACTTTTTCTGTTGCTATCTTCACCACTTCAGTATCAGCCCCCAAGATAAGTATATGACCAACATTATCTATTTCCAACTCAAAATTGAGCCCTGTTTCCAAGCGTAGTTTTCTTAAGTTTTCTCCTCCTTTTCCAATGATGTTGCCACATATAAAGGCATGAAATGCCTCATCCTTGTCCGTCACCAGCTTTTCAGAAAAGGGTAGAATTTTGACGTTTCTTATTCTTTGGACTTCCTGTTGTACTTTTTCTGTTGCTATCTTCACAACTTCAGTATCAGCCCCCAAGACAAGTATATGACCAATATTACCCGTTTCCAAATCAAAATTGAGCCCTGTTTCAAGGCGTAGTTTTCTTAAGTTCTCTCCTCCTTTTCCAAAGATCATTGCACAAATCATGTCATGAAATGCCTAATCCTCATCCGTCACCACCTTTTCAGAAAAGGGTAGAATTTTTTCGTTTCTTATTCTTTGGACTTCCTGTTGTACTTTTTCTGTTGCTATCTTCACAACTTCAGTATCAGCCCCCAAGACAAGTATATGACCAATATTACCCGTTTCCAAATCAAAATTGAGCCCTGTTTCCAAGCGTAGTTTTCTTAAGTTCTCTCCTCCTTTTCCAATGATCATTGCACAAATCATGTCATGAAATGCCTCATCCTCATCCGTCACCACCTTTTCAGAAAAGGGTAGAATTTTTTCGTTTCTTATTCTTTGGACTTCCTGTTGTACTTTTTCTGTTGCTATCTTCACCACTTCAGTATCAGCCCCCAAGACAAGTATATGACCAACATTATCTGTTTCCAACTCAAAATTGAGCCCTGTTTCCAAGCGTAGTTTTCTTAAGTTTTCTCCTCCTTTTCCAATGATGTTGCCACATATATAGTCATGAATTGCCTCATCCTCGTCCGTCACCAGCTTTTCAGAAAAGGGTAGAATTTTTTCGTTCCTTATTCTTTGGACTTCCTGTTGTATTCTTTCTGTTGCTATCTTCACCACTTCAGCATCAGCCCCCAAGACAAGTATATGACCAACATCATCTATTTTTAAACCAAAATTGAGCCCTGTCTCCAAGCATAGTTTGTTTAAGTTTTCTCCTCCTTTTCCAATGATGTTGCCACATATATAGTCATGAATTGCCTCATCCTCGTCCGTCACCAGCTTTTCAGAAAAGGGTAGAATTTTTTCGTTCCTTATTCTTTGGACTTCCTGTTGTATTCTTTCTGTTGCGTTCTTCACCACTTCAGCATCAACCCCCGAGACAAGTACATGACCAACGTTATCTGTTTCCAAATCAAAATTGAGCCCTGTTTCCAAGTGTAGTTTTCTTAAGTTTTCTCCTCCTTTTCCAATGATGTTGCCACATATATAGTCATGAAATGCCTCATCCTCGTCCGTCACCAGCTTTTCAGAAAAGGGTAGAATTTTTTCGTTCCTTATTCTTTGGACTTCCTGTTGTATTCTTTCTGTTGCTATCTTCACCACTTCAGCATCAGCCCCCAAGACAAGTACATGACCAACATTATCTGTTTCCAAATCAAAATTGAGCCCTGTTTCCAAGCGTAGTTTTCTTAAGTTTTCTCCTCCTTTTCCAATGATGTTGCCACATATAAAGACATGAAATGCCTCATCCTCATCCGTCACCACCTTTTCAGAAAAGGGTAGAATTTTTTCGTTCCTTATTCTTTGGACTTCCTGTTGTATTCTTTCTGTTGCTATCTTCACCACTTCAGCATCAGTCCCCGAGACAAGTACATGACCAATGTCACCTAATTCCAAATCAAAACTGAGCCCTGTCTCCAAGCGTAGTTTTTTTAAGTTCTCTCCTCCTTTTCCAATGATGTAGCCATGAATCAGGCTATGAAATGCCTCATCCTCATCCGTCATCACCTTTTCAGAAAAGGGAAGAATTTTTTTGTTCCTTATTCTTTGGACTTCCTGTTGTATTCTTTCTGTTGCTTTCTTCACCACTTCAGCATCAGTCCCCGAGACAAGTACGTAGCCAACGCTATTTGATTTCAATTCAAAATTGAGCCCTGTCTCCAAGCATAGTTTTCTTAAGTTCTCTCCTTCTTTTCCAATGATCATTGCACAAATCATGCTATGAAATGCTTCATCTTCATCCGTCACCACCTTTTCAGAAAAGGGTAGAATGTTTTCGTTCCTTATTCTTTGGACTTCCTGTTGTATTTTTTCTGTTACTATCTTCACCACTTCAGCATTGGTTCCTGAAATGAGTATATGTCCGGCACAAGGTATTTCATATTCAAAATTGAGCCCTGTCTCTAAGCGTAGTCTCATGACATTCTCTCCTCCTTCTCCAATGAAGTTGGCACAAATTTCTTTATGAATTTCCACTTGTTCGTCTGTCATCACCTTTTCAAAAAAGGGTAGACCTCTTTGATTAATGATTGTTTTAACTTCCTGGGATACTTTTTGTGCTATATTTTCCACAACTTCAGCATCTGGGCCAGACACTGATACAAAACCATCCCTTACCTTGATCTCACACTCTAAGTTGAGTCTTTTTAGGTTGGTGCCATCTCTGCCCATGAAATATAAATCAATGTGTTTCTGTACCATAGAATCCTTTCCAGTGGACACCTACAAGATACAATGATGTTTACTTACTGTTTATAGCACAGATGAGAAATATCTTGGGTCAAATCAATACTGCTTAATACCTACAATAATGACCAAACATGATAGAACAATGTTTATTTTCCATCACAACACTTCCATCCTCGATATCCAGGGGCTACACTCACTTTCGCTCTCTACATCCCTGGAATATGTCATAGCAAAATTGAAGGCACGAAGATAGCTGTTTGATTGGGCTCAGGTAAATAAAACTAACCAATCACTAGGCTTTGAAGATAACAAGGGATAGACGCCCGACTTCAAAGCCTGGCAATTTTTAACGTTACGTGACCGCCAGATTCTTTTGATGAAAGGATCAAACTAGTCATCTTGTCTCATCAACAAGGCGGAGCACACTGAGCCTTCGATTATTTTGCTACGACATTTTCCAGGGGTGTAGAGAGCGAAAGTGAGCGTAACCCCTGGAGTATTGAGGATGCAACACTTCATACTGAGGAAACAAACAAGAGATCCTAGAAGGATCTTGGCACCCACCATCAAATAATCTTTGTCAGATCAATAAAAGGGTATCTTTTACTTTCTTTGCTCTTCCTTTACCTTAGAATTGGAAGTGATGTCAATGAGGGATTTATTCTCATAAGGGTCAAGAGTATTTTAACAAGTGATCCAAGAGGAACTTTAAAAAATTCCAGAAATAGATTTAACAGGTTTTAACCATAACAAGAGGCCCATGGGCCTTAACTGTCACCAGAGTCCTACAGTATTTATTTTTGTTGTTGAAATATGTACCAATTTGAGTAAAAAACAAGAGGCCTAATGGGCCTGCATCGCTCATCTGGTATAAATCTCACACTTGTAACCTTAAAAGTGATCTAAAATAAAGCTACAGGCAAAATATCAGTATTTATGATTAAAATTCATTCAAAAGACCGTTATTTTTTTTTTAAACATATCACCCCAGTGATTGAAAGTCGAACACATTTTATAGCCTTTCATCTCAGGATGCAACTTGCAAAGTATCAACATCCTGGGACCCATGGTTATTCAGAAGAGGTCGTTTAAAGATTATAAACAAATTTGACCCCTGTGACCTTGAATATAAGTCAAAGTCATTCACTTTAACAAACATAGAAGTCCTTGATCCTAGTATGCTACTGGCCAAATATCACCACCCTGGGCATTTTGGTTATCCAGAAGAAGTTGTTTAAAGGTTTTTACATATTTCAACCCTGTGACCTTGAATATGGGTGAAGGTCTACATTTGAACAAACTTGGTAGCCCTTCATCTCAGCATGCTACTGGCCAAATATCATCACCCTGGGCATTTTGGTTATTGAACAGAAGTTGTTTAAAGTTTTTTACATATTTGAACCCTGTGACCTTGAATATAGGTGAAGGTCATTCATTTGAACAAATTTTGTAGCCCTTCATCTCAGCATGCTACTGGCCAAATATCAGTACCCTTGGCCTTTTAGTTATTGAGAAGAAGTCGTTTGAAGATTTCAACATATTTGACCCATGTGACCTTGAAAGTGGGTCAAGGTCATTTATTTGAACAAACTTGGTATCCCTTCACCCCAGCATGCTACAGGCCCAATATCAGTACCCTGGGTATTTTGGTTATTGAGAAGAAGTCTTTTGAAGATTTTACAACATTTGACCCCTGTGACCTTGAAAGTGGGTCAAGGTCATTCATTTGAACAGACTTGGTAGCCCTATATCCTAGCATGTTACAGGCCTAATATCAGTACTCAGGGCCTTTTGGTTATTGAGAAGAAGTTTTTTGAAGATTTTAAGACATTTGACCCCTGTGACCTTGAAAGTTGGTCAAGGTCATTTGACGCCGCACCACTGCATAAGAGACCAAATGGGCCTGTATCGCTCAACTATTATTAATCTGTAACCTTAATTGTGGACAATGATCAAATAGGCTAAATGGAACAAGAGTGCCTGTATCGCTCACCTGACTATTTAAGCAGTCCTAGCAAAATATTCTCATTAAATATTATATTGCACTACAAATATTCCCCTCACAGTTTGTCAGTTCCATTTGTTGAAACTACCAGCCAAATATTATTGTAAGATTCTATGCTTTTTGATTCTTCTTCAGAAGTTGCTTGACATATTTTCCCCTGTGACCTTGTAGGTAGGTCAATGTCATTTTCCTTCTCAAATTGAATAGCTCTATTCCAAAAAGCTACCAGCCAAATCTTATGGATCCATTCCTTTTAGTTCTTAAGAACGAATCCTTTAAAATGTTGTTGACCTCTGTAACCTTTAGTCTAAAGTAGGTTGAGGTCATTTTCATTCGCAAATTTTGGTGAGCTCTATCCCAGGAGTTCACCAGCCAAATATTATAATTTTATGCCTTTCGATTATTAAGATGATAAGTCATTTGATGTTTTTGACATATTTGACCTCTATGACCTTGAATGAAGGTCAAGGTCATTTTTTAATTCTCAAACTTTGCCAGGCTCAATCTCAGGAAACCATCAGCCAAATATGAAGATTTTATACCTTTTAGTTCATCAGAATAAGTTGTTTAAAGAGTTTGGCATATTTGACCACTGTGACCTTAAAAGAAAGTCAAGGTCATTTTCATTCTCAAACTTTGTTGGGCTCCATTCCAGAAAGCCACCAGCCAAATATGAAGATTCTATACCTTTTATTTCTTCAGAAGAAGTCGTTTGAAGGGTTTGACATATTTGACCACTGTGACCTTGAAAGTAGGTCAAGGTCATTTTCGTTCTCAAACTTTGTTGGGCTCCATCCCAGGAAGCCATCAACCAGATATGAAGATTCTATACCTTTTAGTTCTTCAGAAGAAGTTGTTTGAAGTTTTTGACATATTTGACCCCTGTGACCTTGAAAGTAGGTCTACATCATTTTCGCTTTCAAACTTTATCAGGCTCTATCCAAGGAAGACATCAATCAAATATAAAGATTCTATACCTTTCAGTCCTTCAGAAGTCATTTGAAGCATTTGACATATTTGACCACTGTGACCTTGAAAGTAGGTCAAACTAATTTTCATTTTCAAACTTTTTTGGACTCTATCCCAGGAAGGCACCAGCCAAATATAAAGATTCTATACCTTTCAGTTCTTCAGAAGAAGTCGTTTAAGATGTTTTGACACATTTGACCACTGTGACCTTGAAAGAAGGTCAAGGTCATTATTGTTCTCAAACTTTGTTGGGCTCTATTCCAGGAAGCCATCAGCTAAATATGAAGATTCTATACCTTTTAGTTCTTCAGAAGAAGTTGTTTGAAGTTTTTGACATATTTGACCCCTGTGACCTTGAAAGTAGGTCTACGTCATTTTCGTTCTCAAACTTTATCAGGCTCTATCCCAGGAAGCCATCAATCAAATATAAAGATTCTATACCTTTCAGTCCTTCAGAAGTCATTTGAAGCATTTGACATATTTGACCCCTGTGACCTTGAAAGTAGGTCAAACTAATTTTCATTCTCAAACTTTTTTGGACTCTATCCCAGGAAGGCACCAGCCAAATATAAAGATTCTATACCTTTCAGTTCTTCAGAAGAAGTCGTTTAAGGTGTTTTGACACATTTGACCACTGTGACCTTGAAAGAAGGTCAAGGTCATTATTGTTCTCAAACTTTGTTGGGCTCTATTCCAGGAAGCCATCAGCTAAATATGAAGATTCTATACCTTTTAGTTCTTCAGAAGAAGTTGTTTGAAGTTTTTGACATATTTGACCCCTGTGACCTTGAAAGTAGGTCTACGTCATTTTCGTTCTCAAACTTTATCAGGCTCTATCCCAGGAAGCCATCAATCAAATATAAAGATTCTATACCTTTCAGTCCTTCAGAAGTCATTTGAAGCATTTGACATATTTGACCCCTGTGACCTTGAAAGTAGGTCAAACTAATTTTCATTCTCAAACTTTTTTGGACTCTATCCCAGGAAGGCACCAGCCAAATATAAAGATTCTATACCTTTCAGTTCTTCAGAAGAAGTCGTTTAAGGTGTTTTGACACATTTGACACCTGTGACCTTGAAAGTAGGTCAAGGTCATTTTCGTTCTCAAACTTTGTTGGGCTCTTACCAACAAAGCTTTCAGCCAAATATCATGACTCTAGGCCTGTCTGTTCTTCAGAAGAAGTTGTTTAAAGGAAAAGTTGACGATGAGGACAGACAACGGACAGACGACGGACACCGCACCATGACATAGCTCACTTGCCCTTCTGGCAGGTGAGCTAAATATAAAGCGACAGGCTCAAAATCATTACCTATGCCAACAAGAGGTCCAGAGGGCTTGTATGGCTCACCTGGAGAATAAAGCAACCATGGGAAATTATTCTTATTACATAAAATACCTCCAATGGATCAGAAGAAGAAAGATTTTAAAGATTTAAACCTTAAATTCCCCTATTTGGCCCCAGAGGATCCACACCCTCTGTTTTAAATACAAAATGTATTCCTCTTTGCCCAAGGATGCTCCAGGTCAAAGTTGGATGAAATCCCTCAAATGGTACAGAGGAAGAAGGATTTTAAAACTTAAACCTCAAATTCCCCTATTGGGCCTCACAACTCTGCACCCAGAAGGGCTACACCCTCCATTTATACAAAATTTAAGCACCTTTGCCAAAGGATACTCCAGGTCAAATGTGGATAAAATACCAGTACAGAAGGAGTAGGATTTTAATGATTTTGTGGGGACACAGTGCAGAGGGGCCACACCTTATGTTTATACAAAATAAAGTCGCCTTTGCCCAAGGATGCTCCAGGCCAAGCTTGGATAAAATCCCTCCATTGGTACAGAAGGAGAAGGCTTTTAAAGATTTAAACCTCAATTTCCCCTTTTGAGCCCAGCCCCTCTGCACCGAAAGGGGCCACACCCGCTGTTTATACAAAATTGATTCATCTTGGCCCAAGGCTGCTCAAGACCAAATTAGGATAAAATCCAGTTATCCCTATTGTACGAGAAGAATATGTCAAAGATTTTACCTCCATTTCCCCTATTGGACCCACCCCGTTG